AATTAAAAAATCAATTCATGGCTTAGAGTTTATGTATTTCTTGTCCATGAAGGACCACCCAAATACGACCTTAAAATTTCAATACCCCTTATCCTTTTAAATATTTACTTTTTTCCAAGCGTTAAAACTGTTGATGGATAGTGTTTTAATGTTGATATAAAGTAATGATAAATGCGCCAATCTGATCTTACCAAATTCAAGACGGTTAACAAATTTTTAGTAAAATTGCAAAGAGAAAACTTTTTGCAGGCAAAATGAGCTTAAATTTGTTCCATTTGTTCCAATGGTTTTAGAAATAGTGACCTTTTGAAAAAGAGAGAGAAAAAAGGATTAAAAATGAGAAACATTTCCTTAACAGTTCTAAAAAGACGATGTACTTTGTTGAATGTATGTCAGGTTTCTGTAAGGACACTGCTGACCAAACCTCTTCTTAACTCTCCATTAAAGACTTAACTATATTGAATACTACTTGTTATCTGTTATTCAACTTTTCATTAGGGACTTAGTAGAAAACAAAATGAACTTTCTATATAGTTACTGTACAGTTTATGTAACGAGTTAATTAACGGGAAGTAAATCGTAAATATATCCTTAATATCAAACATTTTAAATGTTCCACTTGAATCTTTTAAATTTATTTTGTTGGAAGATAAAAAGTTTTTTTTCTTAAATCACAAACAATTTTATGTACATGTAATATGAAATCATGGGAAGAATGTTCATTTTCAAGCCTTCAAGTGAACTTTGAAATTCTTGAAAAGTTCGTTGAAGAGACCAGAGATAATATCCGTTTCTAACACTAAGCTTTCTATTATACGAGGCTCTGTACCTTTAATGTCTCTTTTTACAGTATTTTCTACAGACACGTGATTTTGTTTCTTTTCCTATGCATTCCGTTGTCAATCTTTGGAAATCTATTGTGACCCAAACATGGCTCACTGATAACAAACTGGAATTTATATTGTATGTGGATGCTTGCATAATTATAAATTTGAAAAAAAAAACTTCTGAATTGTCGGGTGGGAAGGGGATCCTTTCTTAATAAACAAGGATATTCTTATGAGGATTTGATCCCCATCTCTGCCTCCAGGGCCAGAATTAGACTTTAGAGAATTGCTTATAATACGTTGATAAATCACAACTTTGTTAGAAACATTTTTCTAACGATTTGTGTTGTAGATAATAATGATACATGTATTTTTGAATTCATATTTCTTAAAAAGATCATTATACATGAAATCATCTTCATTCACAAAAATATTATCTATGTAATTCAATTTAATAATAGAAATACAGAAAAAAGTAAATAATTACATTTCCTTGAAGACCAGATAAGACTTTTAAACAAATTGGCGCATCTTCTTTAAACCTATACATTTCATTAAACAATCTCTTTAGAAAGTTCTTATCACTATTAATGATGATAAGAGACAAAAAACCGAAATTTTCATTAACACTCCATTTATGAATTATTGATTTCTGGGAAGTTTTCGCTCAAACTTATAATAATAAATACCTCTATTTCCCCCTATTTTGAATTATCAAAGGTCAGTAGCATGATATTAATTCATCTCAGTTTTATCGATGCCATTAATGATGAGTTTGGAATAAAAGAAAATAAGACAGGCGAAATTTTCATAGTAAAGCCTAAAGTTAGAGAACTAAAGAAGACTTACTGCAAAGTTTAGCGAAATTTTTTTTACTCGATTGGGTGATTATAAAATCGCACATTTATCGGAAATGTCGTGAATTTTCAAAGTACAATGGTTTTGATTAGATTTCTTGGAACGACTTTGATAAATGGTGGAAAAAAAACAGCTTGAACATCAACTCTGTATTTTGGTGATATTATATACATTCTTTGATTACTTGAAAAAAAAAATCATAAAAAAAGACTATTCACTTTCCATTTTCCTTTAATTAAGTAATAACTATACAGAGTACATGCTGAATTCAAGTCGTCCACACACTTCTACCATGCCAATTTACAACCCTGAAATAAAAAGAGGAGTAGAAGAGAAAACCATAATTATGTCTTAAAACACACTTTAATGTGTTAATGATATTTGAAAGGTGTTTGAACAATAGGAAACGAGACGGCAACAATGAAACAGTGATTCAAAGTGACGTCATAGAAAGGTTTGCAGACAATATACATCATGTTTCAATTTATCAGGTGATCTCATAATGTAAAACAAAATTATTTCAATATGACATTATTGTGTTTTGCACCTTACATGCTGTTTTCGACGTTGGGTGTAACCTAATATAACATATAACATCTTCAAACAACTAGCATGCAATACGATAATAGATGCTGGGTTTTTTTCTGAAGTACAAAAAAGATATAATTCTGTCTTCGTTCATTACTGATTGAAATAGTAAATTTAGGCTAGTTCACGGGTACTTGTTGCAATAAAGTGTTGTCTGTCTCGACAGACGTGGGAAAATCTGTTGAGGGGTAATGATTTGGACACCGTTTAGATGCTTATCTGAATACTTGGGTCTTTTCTTATAGCACCCGCACATCTTCAAACGGGGCGATTGTTTACTGTTAAATTTATCTTTTTGTACACAGAACGTGATACCTTCACGATCCTAACAACTTTTTATCTCCTTATAATTCGTGAAGGATGTTTCAAATTGTGTAAAAGACATATGCATCTATATATTCTTATTCTGGCTTCCATTTATTGAAATATTAAAAAGTGTGGAAGTTATTGGAAAATATGTGTGACATACATTCATGTAAATGGAAATAAAACTGTATTCAGGTAAGAGATTTACAGTAATCTTCTTCATTTCGTGTGCTCTCGGTGCCATATTTCCTTATTTTTAACCTCAAGTTTCCATATGGATTTTTTCCCCAGCAGAGCTAATGTACATCATAAGTACTTGAAAAAACCAAGTTTTATAATGAAAGAGATCTTGCTTTACACTTGGAACATGAAGAACTGGACTGATGCTTCATTACTGAATGTAAAAAAAAAAGCTTAAAAGAAGGTCTCGATTTTTCAAATCAAAGAAATATATGTACCTTGTCGTTCAATAATATATGTACCTTGTCGTTCAATTGACAGGTGGCCTAGTACTGGGACAAATATACACCTAAAACTCTAACGAGTTAAGATGTGTTAACGTAAAGAGTGCTCCTCTTGATCAATTTTTGAATGAAATAAGTAGTAAATAGACACTATCAATTCAAAATTTCATATTGACGTGATATATAGTACACAGGAACGGGGTCCCTTTCATATGATGGTCACTTTTTGAAGCCCTCAGTTAAACGATAATTAAAGTTTACTTATGGTGAAGTTGTAGTGTTTTCCCCGATTTAATGCGATTTAAATTGTTTATTTTCACTTAAAGTTCTTCAATATGTATCAAAAGTATTAGTTTCATCAATTAATTTAGGTAAAAAGTGTCTTTAAATCCAAGTGTATTTCTGATAGCAGATCAAACTAATTGAATTGTAAGCCAATCTGATTTTAAATACAGGTGTCCAAACTGAGGCACCAAAGAGGGGTGTGCCAAGAAGAAGCATCCAGAGAACTCTAGAATTTCAACTTACTCTATAAATATCTATATATCAATTCAATTTCATTCACACATAAAATATACATTATAATAAGAAAAATCTTCCATAATTTTCCTACACTAAAAAAACAATTATTACAATTATCATGCATCATAAATGTTTGAGTACAGGTAAGTAGATTTTCAGGGACAGCGTTCGCCAGCCTCTCTTATGTCCTGAGATAATGCAGATTCGGTTGTATAAAAAAAATATATGGATATTTGTTCTCTGGGGACATACAGTTGGTCAAGAAAATTATGATTTGAGATATCAGTTTTAAATATGTATCCTTAGGCTTGGTTTTACACCTGAGAAAGATACAGAAAACATCGAATATTTCTGCTGAATTTATTCACTGGAATTTTGTTACTTTTTGAATAAATCTAATATCGAAGCTTGTTTTTCACACCAGTGGGTTTTCTTGTTCGAAGGATTGCTTAAGAAATTTAATGACATTTTTATTAACTTTTGGGACAAAATGAAAAAGTGTATGTAAATATTTTCTGATGAAAGCTTTTCTAACTCGTGTGTTTGATTCTACTTTTATGAGAGTTTCAGATGACGATAAACTCCTCGAACTATCTGAAGCATTAAGAATTGTTTAAAAAGAACTCTAATCAATTCCATTGAAGAAGTGCAAAATACCCTGTAAAATAACATTAATCAAAAAATGCAAGAACTTCAAAGACCTAAAACTGGGTGGTTTTGACGCTTGACAGATATCAAGAGGTGAAAACTAGACGTTCAAGCGAGGACAACTGTTCTGTAAACCAAGTCATCTCTGATCATTTTTTTTTATCCTTTAGTTTGTGCAACTATTTGTGAAAATCAGGAAAGAAATCTAGAGAAAAAGTGGGAGTTTATTTTCATTTTATTTCTTAAAAGGATAGGTGCAAAAAAAGGTGACAAAATTGAGGTAAGATTAATTTGCATATGTAAAATGATGTGGTTGCTTTATTCTTTTGAACGCGTGGAAAAGGTTGGTATCAGATCATTACAGATGTTTTGTACCTCTTTTAGTTTCAAGTTTCGGGTAACTAGCACATAAATACCCTGTTGATTGTTTTAATCAACTTTAAAAGACCCGTAATAGCTTTGCAGTTTGACCTTTTTCAATTAGGACACACAGACGGGATCATCGCTTTGTTAAGAACAGGGCTGCAATCGTGGTAAGATGGATTTCGTGGGTCAGTAACTTGAAAGAGACAGTTAAATGTTACAAAAAAATAATGCCTATTAGGAAATCGTTTTACCACCCCAAGTTTAGCTTTTAAACAACAGATTTCAATAAAACGTGTGTCTCATAGGGGAATTTTCACAGATGGCAGGACTACAAGTGTAAATTGAATGTGTATTGTGTAATTTAGCGAAAAAATTATATGAAATTTATGTTCTGTCATACAACTTATCTTAATCTTTCAGAGTAATCATCTAATATGAGGATTTCTAGTCTGCAGACAGGAATATGTCGCAAAAACTGCACGCAGGAGCAACATGCATCAATGAATATCGAATAGGGAAGACCACATGAAAAAGGAGTTCTTTAGGCACCTAATTATGTGAACCACATTAAAAACTAAGATGACTATCCTATCAATATGGGAAACACTTTAATGGTGATATTTTCAACAATTATTTTTAGAGGAAGTCTGATACTAAACGCGTGGTGATGAGTCCTGACATTTCGCCAGGAATTGGAGTGCGTTGCGTCCATGAATTTCACATAATGAATGTGTAAATGTTAAAAAAAAATGTGTATGATTGACAATTTTTTTCCGGAAGTGCAGTTACCATTGTTTATATTTCGAAAGTCAGACTGCTTGATTGAAATTTAAACATATCTACATGATACTGCATATTTGTAAATATTACTGAAAGACCTGTAGACATATTTATTCCGGGGATATTCCAAGTTGTTACGTAAATTATAGAACCGACATCGGTGGTTTCTTAAGTTCATCGTCGGGGAAGAAAAATTCATTCGATACTGAGAAAAAATAAGATAGTTTTCATTTGATAAAGACAATCATATTGGCCCCAGAAACATCCTCGGGATATTTAATTGGAAACCTGCTGAAGTCAAAGATTTTTGCCAAGAAAAATAAAAGTTTATTAAACGAGCCTCAGCACCGACAATTTTCGAAGAATTGTCTGACGTTGGAACTAATTACTGTAAATGACCATGCAAGTGCAGGGACTGTTAGTACTGCTGTATTTTTATCTCATGTTTCCGGTTAATAGTATTGGCCTGTGGTGGTAAGTATGAATAATAAATAATGCTTCAATATTTTAAAAATGACTGAGTGCTACGTGATGTACTATTAATATGCAAGTTTATTAGGAACATTATATTTCTTCTCAGATTAGGATGTAATCTTTTATTTAATCTTATCAGAGAGGCAATACAGGTTGTCTGATCATGAATGGATAATACAAACAATATTTGTCACATGTGAGACTAGAAATTCAAAGGTAAAATAAAAAGAACTGTCAACCATCTTTTTTATAAAGTTAGCCTGTCAGTGAAAAAAAAAAAGAATTAAGAGAAAAATCATAATGGAAAAAAATCAAAGAATATTATTTTAAATATAAATATTATTTCCTGAGATTATGTCACTGTAGAAATTTGTGGTTGGTGGGAGTCTGAAAGGATGAGATTTTTAATGCTTAATAGAAGATGTATTAAGTATTAAAGCTTATAGTTAAAATTTCTCCCGAAATATGGCTTATCATACATATTATTCCTCCGCACCGAATAACCAACTTCTAACGAGAATCTAAGAGACACAATAAAACCATCAACATGTCACTTATAATTGAAAACATTTTTATAGGCATTGAACAACATGAAATATTGAAATGAAATGGTTAGCTTTCTCGCACATTGTGCTTTTTTAATGATACATGGGTGGCTGATTTTTGAAAATAGTTAGGAAGATACGCTTGATGGTCAAAGAATATTAGCAACAAAAGTGAGAAAGTGAAATCGATTTCTTGGGTAGCCAGGGTAAATTTATACCACCCTGATTTTAATGATAATAGAACAAATATTATAATAAAGTGTAGAGAGAAAAAATGTACCTTGAATTCAGCTAATTTTAAACGAAATGCAATAGTCTGAGAACCAAAACAAAAAAAAATTACGATATATAAATATACAAATTATCTTAATTAAAATATTTTTCACTAAAAATAAGAAAAGAAAAGATTTTGTTTGACACATTTTAAAGTGTAAAGAAATCAAAAATTTTCTTAAATCATAAAGAGTGATATCTTTTTTATATCCTGGGTGCAAAATTATTCTTTAAAAATATTCAAAATGAAGCTAGCCAAAATTTTATTGTAAGATAATAACCACTATAAATTATTTTTTGATAACTGTAATTTTCAGTATATGTTAAAGTAATTTTCTCCATTTTGAAAACAATCTTCATATCTTTCATCATAAACAAGGGGAGTAATAGTTGCAAAGATATTAAATTACATATAGTAAAGTTCAATTAATTATGCAGCAAAAATATTTATCATAGCATTTCTACATTTTTATCAGAAATTCGAGAATATGTTGGCATACAACTTTCAGAAGATGAATTCAAAATCATTTTGTTAAAAGAAATATCTGTATAACAAAATAATCACGTGCAAAAAATATAAATGTCAATTCTAAAAATCTTCAGAATCACTACATTTGGTCACAATTTGGAATATTTTTTTTTCTTCAAAAAATCATATAAATTCTTATATCATACTTTTGGCCCCGAGGAAATCTTAAACAAATGAACAATTTTATGAGACCTTAAAAACTTTAAGAGAAACGTAAATCTATGTTGATATATTTTCTATCAATATGATAAGTAAAAAAAAAGTGGTTAAAATCTTAGTAGAACAGTATTAGAACACTGCGGGTGAGAGCCAGGCTTTTGATGGTAATTGAAATTTGCGTTTTGCCTCCTCTCTCAGGGAGATAACCTTGATTCTAGACAGAACAATAATTTCCTCACGTCTATCCAACTTCCCCGAGGTGAGGTGCTAACTTTATTGCATAGTCGAAGTGCACTGGATAAGAGAGAGAGAGAGAGAGAGTTGAATTTCCAAAAGGTGTCGAACAAATCAAAATTCAAAAGGTTCTTTCTATTATATATAATTTTATATAATAAGTGCAATTCAAATACATCATTCTCTGATCGAAAATTATGTATGAAGCTAAGTGGATACAATATTACCGAATAATTCAACCAGGACTAATACTCTCTAAATATAGAATTAAAATTAATATGATTCGTGAAGAACAAGTCGATCAACCAATATGTCACACTGCAAACATATTACTGATGTGATTGGAAACCATATTGGTTTATAAAAATTATCCCTTTGGGTAAATCACTTTCCAGAACAGAAAAAAATTAAAGTACAAGGATAATGAGAGAAATGAAACCCTGCAACAAAGGTGGACTTTGTAATTAAAGTTTCTTAAGCTGCAACGAATTTAATTAGATTCATTTAATTTTGCATGGGTTATTTGAACTTGTACCTAATGGGATATATGTATGCACTGATCCTGTATAAATGGTCTGTACTCCAGAGGTTTTGTCTGGAACAAGCATTGGGCAGGTATTCCAACTCTAACGTATAAAAACCACACTTACAATGGTTAGAACTATCCATGACAACAGAACACAAAGTTAAACTTAAAATAAAAAATGACCTAAATGTCGTTTAGATATTGGTTTGGTTTTGTAATAATAGATAGAAGTAAACTATTATGAATAATCCATCGTCATGTTTTCATTAATGAAAGGAACATTAGATTTTATGTAAAATAATTAAAAGCAAAAACATATCAATCTGACAGGGTTTTATGGTATTTTCTTCCTAAAAATGTTTTTTTAAATATAAAATTGCTCGATATCACAGATTTATTTGAGGAATCCTTGAATAACGCTTACTGTATCTTGACTTAAATAAGAATTTAAAAATGCAACCATGAAAACCTGTTATGAGCTGGCGATTTGTATTGGTTAGGATTTTTTTTTGCTTTATATAAAAAACAAAATACGTTTCTCAATTATACATCTACATATTTATTATTAAAGAGAATCAAATTGTTAAAATAAATTACATATAATATAATTAGTTTTTTAAACTTAAGTATTTGGTAAATATTTTTTTAATAAATTCTTTAAAATATTTTAATAAGAGCTGCTCCTGAGGATATATTATAACCTTAACACTATTTGATATAAATACATGTAATATAACTGTCAGTAGCTCAAATTCCATACATTAAAAACTCATAATTAATAATTCAATAATATGTGTATTTTCATAACATTTGGTAAAAAACGGTTACAATTATTTTAGATAACATCTACCAAGAAGTGTTGAACTGCGAAATAACAATATCATGTTTCCTTCAAATTTATGATTTATTATCGACCTTTTACGTGACAAACACTAAAAATTATATACATGTTTATATTTCTCTCAAAACCTTTTTGTAATTTGGTTAAAAAAGTGGTGAAAGATTTGTGTTTAGGTCAAATATCACTCCGCCCATTGAGAGCGTTGTAACTGCTTACAACTATTTTATCTTCTTCCTGAAATACACGCGTTTATATTCAGCAGACGCAGACGATATCTGATTATGCATCTCATTATCACAGCTGTCAAATACCTTATGAATATTTATGACGTGTGTGATAGTGTAATGTAGATTTTTACACCATTATAGAATATTTACAAATAATTATATACCTTTATTTTTTTTTTATTATAGATGGAGGTTGATATATTAAGAATAAAAATATAGGAATTTCTACCAATACTTATACGAAAGTGGCATATGCAATAGATCACAAAGAGATCATGAAAAGATAGACACTTTATAAAATCACATTAAAAATATATATGTTTAAGACGTATATTTAATTGTATATACTATTCTTGTATAACATTGTGTCATTTTGAATTCTATAGGGCGGTAGGTAGTCCCTTGGTAATGGACCCAAACAGCATATGTCGAAAAAGTCGAAGATTAGCAGGGAAACAAAGAGAAATTTGTCGAAAAGAAATTGAAATCGTAGAAGAAGTAGCAAATGGGGCCAAGCTAGCGCTGGGCGAATGCCAATACCAGTTCAGAAACAGAAAATGGAATTGTACGACATCTAGAAGAATGCTTTCAAGAGTTCTAAAAACAGGTATGAATTTACTGTACAGTTATGAAAGGAAATCAATACTATACAGACCATATTATTTCTGATCTAGTATTTTAATGGCCGATTCATAAGACAGGATAAAAGGTTAATACCTTTCAGGCAAACATTATAATACAATTCTGATATCATCCAAGGTTAAAACAAAAAGGAACTACAGAATCTCGTAATTAACATTTGTTTCACATTTGCATGCTACATAAAATATCATGGGAAAATAATCAAAGTTTGTGTATGAATAACTGGAAGGAATATACTTCGTTAATCGGAAACATTCTGTTATTTTGTATCTGTATCATTTTTATGTTAGCTTTAAGGTATACATGTACGAAGAGACAAAATATAATTGATGTTTATGTTCAAAAGTTCATTTCTGTTGTGTCATGGACACGGTAGAACGAAATGAAGTCCACAAATCATCAAAAATTACAGTCAATTGCGTGCAACAAATCCAAAATATAAAAAGCACAGGTTTCTTAAAACTAAGAAAATATTTTCTGCATTAAATATACATACTTACAGTGAGAAAACTTTAAATCCAAACTTTCCAACAAAGAACATTCAAAAAGAGCACATGTTATATTAACCAGTTACCAAAATTTTGTGACGTGTGCGATCTTCAGTTTTTTCGTTTAAAATAATAAATCTCCCCCTTTTCTTTGTGGTGCTATGCTGTGTAGAGTTCTGATATTTCTTATTTTGTGTAAGATCTTTCCTTTGCTTTTTTCCCCACCTTTCACCCCTGTTTTTAAGATCAAAGAAAACCCTCTCTTGGAATATGTGCTGGCAGGCAGTCTTAAATGATGTTGTGCCACTGATAATATTGCACTTCAAAGGATTCCTGCATAATAGAAACTTAATGTTTCTGTGAGGCAAGTTTACAGAGCCTGAATTATAGAGCAGCATATGCTTTTTACACTTTGAAGATAAGTTAGATCATAAAACAAACAAGCTAAAGAGAAACGGTTTTTGGGAATCTCGTGTGATAAGCTAGTTTCCTCAAACGTTTAAAGAGAGGAGTCGTCGTCAATTTAAATGAAATTGTTCTAACTTGTAAGTACACTGTTTTACAAGGAACATTATATATAAAGATATTCTCAGGACCAACTGAGTGTATTAATAGAAAATTCAGATATATGGAGTACAAAGGGGTCAAGAACATTAACGTATCGAGGAAAATTTGCAAAAAAAAAACAACGGTACCAGACCGGCTTATTCATGAATTGAGGAAACTGTTAAAATAATAATAAAAATGTTATGTAGTTGAAAATTGTATCTTTTTGAATCTTGTAAATTACTTTTTGCGTACTTAGATTTTTTTTTAATGTCAGGAGAATGGTGAAATATCATTAATCGTCAAACTACGGTTTAATATGCTTTATCTAAAAGGATAGAGATTTTTTGGTTGTTATGAAAAAGATTGTTGAAGAAAAAGATTTTGTATCTCCATGAATATGTCGAGATAAAATTTTTAAAAAGTCTTGATTCCTTGCAATTGTCAAAAGGGAAAACTAAACTAAAAAAGTAATCATTAATTAAAAAAAGAAAAGAATTCGATATCATCATGTACACGGAAGTACACATACATTTAAATTAAAAGAATTTTGAGTAAATGAGAATTTGATTGGATTGGATGCATTTATTGAAATCATTTCGAGGCTTGATATATATATATATATATATATATATATATATATATATATATATATATATATATATATATATATATATATATATATATATATATATATATATATATATATAATGATAATAATTAACTGCTTTTCATTGTGACTTTTTATTTCATATGTACGGAATCGATCTTCATTGTAATTTGATTTTTTATGATGAAAATGACCACACTTTCAAATGCAAATGCATATTCAAATCGTAAAATTTGAATTCATTGGATAAAAGTACACACAAAATTGCCAAAATGATATAATTTTTTTTTATTAAGGATAGAGATTTGGTTGTTGTGAGAGAATTGAAGAAATAGATTTTGTATCTTCATGAGTATGTTGAGATAAAATTTTTAAAAGTCTTGATTGCTTTGCAATTGTCAAAAGGAAAAAAAAGATACGTTACATCGTACTGGGCAAGATAGATTTACCTCCAACTAAAATATCATAACATCATATGCATCTAAAATAAACTACAATAAAACTTGTCTAATCCGGATGTTGTGTATTCCGAAATCTTGCCTAGTACGATGTAAGTTTTAAGTACATTCAGGAAATTCAATTGTTTTAAATGTTGTCTAATCCGGCCAATTTCTTTGGAACCAGTGGTTTCCGGATTAGACAAGTTTTACTGTACAATGAATTAAATTTGAAAAATCACACTGTACATGCATGAGGAATGCAATGGAAACAATAATGTTTGTTATTCAAACATCGTTCTGTTTTGAAAAAGTAAAGATTACCATTTGTGTGAGCTAATCATCGCGTTCTGCTAATAACTGAAAGTTTAACATGAAGATGATAAATGATCTGAAACGAGAAGAGGTAAAAAAAAATCTAACACAAACCAGATTCTGTCGTAAAAAGGCATCCGGATTCTTTCATAAGTATTTCTGTTGTTGTTTTTTTTTTAAAGTTTCATTTGATATTAGGTTTATATAAACACAAAAGAAACTTTTCAATGTATAATGAGAACAAACTATTTGCGGAAGATTTTCAAAATAAGACACTGATATTAAATAAGTAAGTAAAAAAAAGTACATTTCACATATTGCTTGTTGTAGTTCAAAAAGTAGTACAATATACACATATACATGTAAATAGGTGATACGCAGCAATCTTTCGTTTTTAATAATGTTATTATTTGACCATTGCTAAATGTAAACATTTCAAATATGTTTCCTCACCTGCTTGAAATATACGCCTTGAAATGATATTTTTTGGCGACTGTGCTTATATTTTGTAAATAGATAAAAAAAAAAAAGAAAAAAGAAAGAGTTAATATAGAACAAAGTAAGATGAGATGAAACAGATTACAATTCAAGGTGTGCTATATAATAATGTCCGAGACATTATTATAATAATGGTTCCGATCTGCTTGGTTTTCCGATGTAAAACTTTTGATGTCTTTGGAATGGTATTTTTTATCGCAATTTCCAATGTAACACATCCAAAAAACTTCCCAAATACCTTCAAAAGAGAACATTCACTCTATTATCTTTGCAACACAATGATTTCTTTTTTTCTTTCTCTTTGTTAAACAGATACCAGAGAATCAGCATTTGTTTATGCAATAACGGCAGCCGGAGTCACATTTGCCGTTACGGAGGCCTGTGCAATGGGCAAACTCATGCAATGCTCTTGTGATAATAAAGTTCAAGACATTAATACTGACGGCGACTGGGTTTGGGGAGGTTGTAATGATAATGTAGACTTTGGGTATCGCAAATCCAAAGACTTCATGGACGCTCGTAAGCGAAAACGTCGAGGGGACTTGACAACAAGGATACAGTTACACAACAACGAAGCCGGCAGACTGGTTGGTACATTAATGAATAATGGATTATCATTATTTTTTAATTTCAAAATCTTAAGGAGTATTCCTAATCTATTTCCCCCTTATTTAAAGACTTTATTTCATATTAATATAACAGATACAATGACTGCTGAAGAATTGTGTGGTATGAAAATATGACGTAGTTTTAGACGATTTAAGTAGTCATGAACTAAGAGGTGCTCACATTGCAATGGAATAGTATATTTTATAAGGTAACCTAGTTTATTCTACAGAAACGATGCGTTTTCCCTTTTCTATCACATCTTATCTCTGATGCAACATTAACCGCACAACAATTCAATAAAACTTCTAAATAAGGTTCATATTGCAATCAAAATCGCAGCACTGCTCTAGCTTCCGGGCTCAATTGTCAAAAACGAAATTAAATTATGTCAATAAAACTTCTATTGCAAGGTCTCAATGCCTCTTCAGATTTGCCTCCGTAAGTTGAATCACATATTGATTTTGGGTAATTTAAGTAATTGGCCAGTAACGATTTATCATCGGAACACATCTAGAGCTTATTGAATAGATCAAAGAACTGTTTGACGGGTACTTAATGCAGCATTTGTTTTACAAAGTATTATTAAGACATAGATCAGTGTCTTTCGGCACACCCTCTCAATAGTCAAACAACGTTTCGTACCAGTCTTAGAAGAGGCTGCTGTCATTTCAAACAAATTCATTTTCTGAATGACAAACCGAGGAAAAATTTACATGTATCGAATTCATACTTCACACACATAAAGGGTCCAGAATTTACCAAATCACGTTTATATTTCCACCATTCAAGGGCACTCACAGAAGAACTTTCTATCTGTGTTTATTGTCAACACTTATAGTTAGCTAGATGATGTAAACCCTTCTCATGTTTAGATCAAACCCTCTCGAAGCATGAAAGAGATTGCTATTATCATTATTTGGAGTGCCTCTTGACCAGTGAAAATTCCTATTAATTTTATCTAATAGTCTGTCAATTTGTCACTTGTATATTCAACAAAGATAATTTGAGAGCAAGGATTAACGATCAAAGATAAATGCTCTTTTGTCGATGAATTTTCAATGAATGAAACATATTTGTGGTGAAATAGGGATATTTCGGATAAAATATGAAATTTGGCCCAAGATTCGACAAAAACTTACGACTCCTAACGCATGAAAGGAGTCCTTTGTAGGAATATTTGTTTCCTTTGAGTAATAGACAATTTGTTCAAATAAAAATTGGATTCTGAATAAGTCCTCGGTATTGAAAAGAATATATGGACCATATTTTACTTGAATATTTGGCAACAATAAAAATAGAAATATTCTGAATAATATCTTAATATATTTGTCACATAGAGGGGGCCTGGAAAAGTTATTATTAGTAGTAAGAAGTCAGTAAGTGTATTATTATGTAGTGATTTAAATATTTAATGTCTATTGCTCTCAAAGAACACCGTTAACTCTTGTGAGAATATGACACTTCCAGTTTTCAATAAGTAACAACTTAATTTTTATTTAATTGAGTTTTGATTTAAAGATATGCTGAACATTACATAAAGAAAAGTGCAACTATTGGCTATATTTGACGTAGAATTTATTTTAAAGTGAAGCCAAAAAAAAAACAAAAAAAAAAAACACTGCTTTTAAGAAATTGAAAAAAAAACGTGCATATAAAAATGTCATATTTTGATATTCATTCTCACAACAACAACACCATCTGCGATCATTTTCTAATAAAGCATATTTTATTTTTTGTAGGCTGTTAAAAAATATACAAGGGATGTGTGTAAATGCCACGGGTTGTCTGGTTCGTGTGCACTGAAGACTTGTTGGCGGAAAATGCCACCGTTTCGAAGTGTTGGTGATAGACTTAAAGAGGAATTTGATGGTGCAATTCAAGTTGAAATCTCTAACGATGGCAAAGCCCTGGAAACTAAATCTAAAACAATTAAACCTCCTTCTCCCGAAGACCTTGTTTACTCGGAGAATGCCCCGGATACACGGTTTTGTCGTAAAAACAGGAAGTGGGGCTCTTTAGGAACTAAAGGACGAATTTGCGATCCAAAGTCAATGGAAGTAGGAGGATGTGACCTCCTTTGTTGCAATCGAGGATACAAAACAGAAAAAGTGACCCTGAAAGGAAATTGCAAGTGTAGATTTATCTGGTGTTGTGATGTGCAATGTGAAACATGCGTACAGGAAAAGACTATACACAGATGTCTATAGCTCTCCTATGTTTGAAGGAGCGTTTGTTATTTTATTATGGAGGCCATTTTACATGCCAAAAACAAAGAAAATTGGGGGATTCTTTTCAATTAGCTTTGAATGAAAGTGTTAAGTGTAAATGAACCAGTGTAATTTTTTTTGGAAAAGTTGCAAACATAATAAATTGCAGTATTTGAAATATATTCATTGCAAAGTTGTAAAACTAGAGAGATAACTTCTATATACATTTATACCCATTGCAGTGTTTGCACATTCACTTCGCGGCCGTATAGTATTTATGATCACTGTAAACATTTCTTTTTCTCCATTAAGATACTGTATATGTACATATGTGCATTATAGAATAGAAATTGGTTAAAATAAGCTTCAATTAGATGTATTGAAAATATTTCAAGAACTGGCAGATTATTTTGTCAGTTTTAGGGGGTTATGTTTGGAAATTGTAAATATATTTATTTACTGTTTTATTTACATATCATAACATTATATTGTTTGTTGCTTGAGAAGTATATAGGGTACAAACATGAATATAAAGACAGCTTCCCTTATGTCACGTATATTTAAACGTTTGTTACTTTATCATACGTAAGATAGGGGCGTGTCTTGTATAGTGTATTTCTACTTTTTATCAAAACGTATTTAACGTTTTTTCCCCTTTTTTTTCCCTAAGATCTATTTTTAATGAACTTGATGAAGAATTAAAAAAAAAAAGAGAGGGAGTTTCTTCCTTGCAAGACAAAAAAAGATTAATTTGAAGCAATTTAGATTTTTTTTAAATCTTAACAACTCAGAATATAGTGCCTTATAGTCAATTCACAAGTTGAATTTACTAGGGGAATTGAGATTTACTATCGAGCATTATGTATATCGTAAGTATTGATATTTTTTTCAAATTGTTCAATATGAACATTAATCAAAAGTGAATTTACAAAGTAATGGTCTATTAAATGTGTACATCAGTTTCCCAATTTCAAAGGATGCTTTAAGTTAGTAAAAACTGCATAGTCATAAGCTTTAGCAGCATTATCAATATGTGCTGGATTTAATAATTAATAAATAATTAATGATAAGTACTGGACTTAGTTAAGGTAAAATAACTTATTCCGTCTCTACCAAAAACAAAATGCAACAGAGCCTTGTATATACAATAATATACTGTAAGGTCAAGTGGTTTATCCATGCAGCATTAGGAATGAATGATATTTAAAATCCACAACAAAGCATTCTAGAGAAACAGCATTAAAATAGAAACGAAGTGAAAATCCTTGAGCATTTTCAAATAGAGAGGGGTTAATTTGTTGAATATTTTATAGGTAATAGATACTAGGGAAATTTTGGTTAATAAAAATTAACCCTCCACCCCCACCCCCAAAAAGTTCATGTTTGCAGTATTATATAGATATTTGACATGATTCAATGTAATGTATGTCATGTTTCAATTTTTAATTTTGTATGTAAACAGCTGAACTTAAACTTAACTAATACTGCCATAATTATAGACCCCTGCAAACGGACTCTTTGGATAAGATACTGCTTTCACTCATTCGTCGTTAAACTTATTTGGAAATGTTCATGTCAGTGGAAGGTTACTGTTATATTTAGGACCATGCGACAGTTTGATTCTTCAATTGCTTTTAAAACTATCAAATCAAAAACAATCTACATTTTTATTTTTTGGTAGTCTTATTTGTATCAACAAGAATTTTAATTTTTAAGATAGTATCAATTGCTTGTTTGAAATGTACATTTTGCATAATGATATATTTTCAAAACAAATGATATCAACAGTTTATGGTATTACAGTCTTAGCAAAACAAATAAGTGATCTTAACCCACGTTCAAGCTACTTAAAATATTCATTTTAATTTTTCAAGAACTTTGGGTTCCAGAAATGTAGAAGTTTAAGTTTTAGACATAAAATGTCAATTAAGTTCATGATTATTCATTGTATTATTGTCATGTAATTTAGTAACTGGATATTTCTATTGTATTGTTTATTTGTGTTTATATATACTTTATAGAAATTACTGTCCTGTGAAATTGTTTTCTTACAATTAAACTTGCGTAAAACGCAAAAATGACACATACTGTTAAATTTCCAGAATTTCAAGGTACTCATGGGTACAACCCGAAACATAAATCAAATCGTATCTTTTAAAATGTATGCTTCCTCAGATTACATCCCAACGCATAGAACAGGGAAAAATGAACATTATTACATAAAGATATTTTTTGGAAGTTGTATCTTATTCAAGTTTATATTGTAATTAGAAAGAAATAGGATTTATACAGCAAAAACACATCCAAATCAAGTAAAAAATAAAAACACAAAAACAAACAATCGAAACTACAAAATTTTGGGACTTGTAAAGAACACTTCAATTTATGAAACAGTATATATTGCTTGCGTTTGTTTGTATTAGATAATCATGCGATTGAATAGTGTTCTTAAATAAACTATCATGTCATTATTCAATGTGCATGTTTGGGATAATAGGATGCTTTGAGCCAAAATAAGAAACATAAAATACGAGATATGAATGGACACGAAAATTGCGAATAGTATCAAAGGAATATGACGCAACATTTTCCAGTTTTCATAGGATCTCTGAAAATACATGAAAGTTGGAGAGTGGTTTGTTAAGGATAAGCATTTGGTCTTTTTCAAAGAGGTTTGAAAATTGTTTCGGATGTAAATTAATCTTGTATCACAGAACAAAACTTTCCAAATTCATTTTGCTTCAAGCACTACACATAAATGTCTCAATTTTAAGTCAATAATCGTAGCAATATTTTCGTATCATTATTTCATAAAACCACCTTGAGACCTAGGAAATACACGTAGAAGGGGGGTGGGGGGGGGCAAGTCATTTTGTAAAAAAGAAGAAAAAAAAGAATGACAGGAAAGTTTCCAATGAAGATATATCCTAGTGTCAATATCGAAACTGGAAAGGAAACATATTAAACCAAACGTTTTTCTGTATTTGATAGAATAAATATTATTTCGATTCTGGCTTAGGTCCATGGTTTTGTATAGAAATACATGAATCCATACCGGTAATTGGTGTCGTCACAATATGAAAAAGATTGCCCTAAGCTTGATGCGGAGTTTCTAATGAACATTAAATACTGATATTATTTTGTGGAAAACATTTCTCCCTCAAAGGCGGAGTCAAACTGGGAATTCAAGGTTTAATAGTCGGTTAATAACGCTGAAATTCTTTATGATGCGAATCTGCAGACGTGTTTAATTAAATAAATAGGCAGAAAATCAGTTATTGAGATTATGTGCTTTAGAAGCAGGAAGTCATTATGTTGGCAAAAGTCAACTTCTAATTGATATCTGGATGGACGCACAATGATATAGATTAGTTGCGGTGTTTTGTTTTGTTTTGTTTTTTTTTTTTTTGCATGGTGCATAAAGGTCAAAGGTTATAGAAATATTATACGCAATAAAGACAAGTTTTCCTTTTAAAGTAAGTGATCGGGAAGTGCATTATTTAGATGTCAAACTTGTGGCCTACGTAATGGAAGAGAATGTACAGAACAGTCAATTACTACACTAATACAGGAGTAAGATTTACTCGAAACACCAATGCACGAATAAACTTTTACCTTAAGGGAAAGGGTGTACTTCCGTTTCGGAAGTTACATGTAAGGAAATTCTTGGGCATATAGTTTATTCACCATGTAACTGTACAAGTAGAGCTTTTTCAAAAAGTTTTGCCGTCTTTAGCAACACCCTTTAACAGTAAACTGGCATACACCTATTTGGCCGTATTATTCTTGAGCATATCTTCAACTTTTTACTGACATTAGCCTTACCATGTGAAAGTTCAACCAAATGCTCGGCTTTCTCCGTAAACTTCGACTCTGCTGCTGGTCGGAGTTTACGGAGAAAGCCGAGGTATTAAAAAGACAGTACAAAACAAAGAAAAAGAATAAATACAAGCTGACAAGCAATAAAGAACATTTCTGTTTACAATGAAAATATAGAAACGCCTTTAAGTAACTGCTATATAAGAAAAATAAAGTGTTACTTAGATTTATTAAGGGCCATTTTCATCCGTTCGTTTTGTCATATTTTTTTTAAGATTGAAAATCTTGAAATATTGTCAAGTCGTACGAAAATTAGTTCACCAGAAAATTATCTCCCTTGCCCTGAACAGCATTTTAACGAATGAAATAATAGGAAATTTTCACATCATTTAATTTCTACCAATCACTTTTAAAAGAGAGGAAGTGCATAGTCCGAAGGCTGTAAAATACTTCAACTCTGTATACCGTCTTCCAAGGAAGACGGTAATAAATATTTGCATCTCGATCAAAGTAAATGCATCAAAAAATCTCCTTAATACGTAACACGTTATGATAAATTTACATGAAGCTCTCAGTGCTTAGTAAACAACGTATAGTCAGTCGCGTTATGTGTGCGCAATGGTTACATTTACCGGATGCCTCACATGGAATCAACTGTGATCAAAGGACAGATTCTTAACTGTATATATTCACTGAGCTTTCACAAATAAATGTTCAGAATGTTTATGAATTTTACTCTGCTGCATATTGTAAATTTTGAATGGATTTGGTGAATGTACAATGTATGTACAGAATGTAAAACCTAGCAGCTAATTTTATATTATCTTATAAACCCTAAGCTCTTCAGTAACATATTCATGTTACTCGCCATTGAGATCCCTTGAAACCTTGCAGTATCTTAAAAGTTAAGGTAACGAAATTTTTGTGACTGCAAAAATCCTTTCAGCAGAAGGTATTTGCATCTGTCTTCCTTTATTTACTCTTAATCGTGACTGATACAATGCGTTATTTATTTTTTTTCATTTGGTTATTCAATTTTTTATATGTTTCCCTATATTCTGATAATATTGGAAAGCTATTTTTTCATTAAACAAACAGAAAAACAACATACAAGCAAAAAAAGCAAAACAAAACAATGACGGAACAAACCAAGAAGCAAGAAAAATAACAAAAGATAGAAGGGAGAAGAGATAAAGATGATCAGCTCCATACAGCTCTTATGGATTTCGGAGAAAAAAAATATTTCACATGTATTAGCATGCTGCTTTTATCTTCACAGAATTGTGCGAACATGCGATATTCTGTATAGTTTTAATCTACAAACGTTCAATCGCCCTTTGATGCTGTGAAATTGAGCATGAAACTACGGAGGTCTTAGTTTAATATGTTCCTCTATTCTACTGCCTTTGCAGTATCTCGCTAAATTCAAGTCAATTTTTCAGCCATTAAAATTTGTCTGATGTTTTCTTATGTTGTTATATATTTTAATGCGCCTTTGCAAGTAGAAGTTTTGTTAAACTAAATGTACTGTGTAATTATACCCTAAAGTCTATTATTTCTAGCATGCCACTAATTAGTTTGATTGCTGCGGGTACCGATTTGCAGACATAAAGCACTCCAATGTTATTAATATCCTAGAATAGAGGGATTATGCTTAATCCCGTTTAGTTACTATTTTCGTCTCCTATAAACGAATTCTTCATCATAAGATTAACATACTAGTCTTTAAATGTCATTATCAGCAGATAATCACTGTACAGGATGCCCAAGAACAAATATCAGGAGTAAAAACATAATGACATGTACTGTTGTGAAGTTTGTTCTGCAAATACATGAACTTATAACTACAATGGTTTTTTCCCTCAAAAACTCCTCCTTCGACACTTTAAGTATGCTTTTATGGTGGTCAAATATGACGTGGGATTGACTGAGACAAATACGTCACTTCACTGAGGCAAGGTGTGAAATTATAAAAAAAAAAAAAATTAATTTTGATATTTCCTAGTAAAATCCAAATTTACTAGGAGCTGTTAAATCGAATTTGAAATAGTTGCATCTTAGATGCTTTGAGAATTTTTTTTCTTGTCTGAAAAAACCCCCACAATTTCCCAAGACTGTGAAATCCGATTGGCCGATTTTGAGAGGCCCCAGCCGCCTCCCCCTTTTTG